CAAATATATTTTTCCAATTTTTTAAACGAAAAACATAGGTACCTAAAAAACCGAAAAAATATAAATGTCAGCAAAATGGGTTTTTATTTTTAATCTTTGGTGAAAGACAAAACATATATATATATGAATTGGCTTCTCAGTATTACTTTTTTCCCCCAAAAAATCTTATCATTGTCATTCCTCACAATCTTTTGTTTTTTTAATAAAATCATTGCTCATAATCAATGGCCTAGCTATTAGAGCCAGAGCCCCATATGCATGTCTGCCCCTTTTTATTTTTAAAGAAAATCATTTTACAGATGACTATACTATTTTCAATTTGTTATCTCTACAGTTTTTTTGCTCCTTATTTTTAAAAATTGAGAAAAATATGGATATATGTAAAATAATTTTCCTTGTCTTTGGGACTTATCTTAAATTTATCAAGGAAGGAAAAAAAAAAAGATAATTGAAGGGAATATGCAGACAGAAATGCAACACGGGAACGCCATTGACAACTTCCCGGAAACTGCAAAAAGAGCCTCTGAAACACACAGATAAATACATGAGTGAGGCATTTGGTGATATCTGAATCCGAACTGAAGAGCTTGTTTCAAGAGAAAGCAAGTCTACAAGTTCTGAAGCTGCCATTTTGTGAGAGCTATTTCTTTCGCTGCCCTCCACATCCATCCAGGTTCATTTCTTCTCTTTCATTTGCTTTGTCTCATGGATCCATTGCTCCTTCTACTGTTTTCCCTGCACTTTTCCCCGGAATTTTCCCAGAAAAATTCTGCAAAAGATTTTCTCTCTTCTTCTTCCAGTGCTGGCTGTTGATTGATTCTCCTCCATAGCTACCTTACAGTCGTAGATCTAATAAAACCTCAACATTTAGAATTTTTTATACTTTAACTTCTGAAAAACAAAGCCCCAAAACCTTCTAAGATATTGTGGACTTGATCTATAGATTAAAGTCTTCATCTATTTTATTTAAACTTTTTTAACGAAGTAAACGGCACAGTTATTTATTTTATAAAAAAGCAAAGTGCTTGTTCTTCCTTTCATCTTAATTACCCCCCCTTTTTGTTGTTACGCGTGAAAAAGACATTGATATAATGAACAGGGCGTATTCTGTTTTCTCCTGATCCACTTGCTTGGTACGGTTTTGTTTTTCACAGAAAACAAACATATATTAATGTATATCAATTTATTCAGTCCAATAGAAGAAAAAAATATGAGAGTAATTTAGTATTCGAACTAATAAAATTTTGTGGGCTTTAATATAAGTTTACCAAGAAATTGAGACACGGCCTGATTCGCCTTCAACATGTGTATTGTTACTCACTGTATATAGCTTCTTCTAGAATAAATTAAGTTGCTGATAAGAAACATGATGAATTCTTTCTTTCGCATTATTCCATCCATAAAGACAGGTTCTTCATTTTCGCATCAATCGTTCCGTAACTTGTTCCCACTTCCTAAATATTATTGTTTATGTTTTTATGGCGCTAATCAAGAGCCAAACCGCAGCGCCTCCTGAGAAGTTAAAGCCAAAAAATATTACTTTATCACGTTAGTTTCGGGTTGGTGAAAAGTTTCAGGTCATAGCAAGAGATTACAGTCACATGGAGGCAACCTTTACTCTAACGCTCATAGAAGCTGTATTGATTTTGCTGGCTATAGCAATTTCTAAAGCTATCACATTAATCTCTCCACTTGATCCTAGGTAACATCTCCTTTAAATGTTCACTTTATGATTTGCTCATAGTCCAATATTTATTATTCATGATTTTTTTCCATATCTAGTCGTAAAAATGCTGTTGATTCGATTCCCTCGGTTTCTTCTCCTTCTCAAATCATTGATGCTCCTCCTCCTGCAATCAAGTATGAAGTGTTTCTTAGCTTTAGAGGGGAAGACACTCGTGACGCTTTCTCAAGTTATCTCTATGAGGCACTTCGCCAAGCAGGCATTCATATTTTTATGGATCACAAGCTCGACAAAGGAGACCATATCTCACCAATCCTTCTTAAAACAATAGAGGAATCAGAGATATCTTTGATCATTTTCTCTGAAGATTATGCATCTTCAACATGGTGTATGGATGAACTCGTTCATATTATGAAATGTAAGGATAAGTACGGAAGGTTTGTTGTCCCAATTTTCTACAATGTAGATCCATCAAATATTCGGAAACAGGATGGGAGATTTGGAGATGGATTTGCTAAGCTCATGCAGAGATCTAAGCACGACCAAAACAGAGTACAGGAGTGGGAAAATGCTTTGATCAAATCAGCAAGTCTATCTGGGTGGGATTCAAAGAATTTCAGGTAGCTTTTATTGTGCTTATGATGCTCTTATTTTCTTTCTTAAATTTGGGCATTAAACATAACCATTATTTCAATTTATATTTATGCTAGGCCTGAACCCGAACTTGTCAAAAAGATTGTCAAAGATGTTTTGAGCAAACTGAATCGCAAGTCATCCTTTCATGTGGATGGATTAGTTGGGATTGATCATCAGATACAGAAAGTTGAAGAGCTGCTAGGTGAAGCTCGCATTGTGGGAATATGGGGTATGGGTGGTATAGGCAAGACCACTCTTGCTAGAGCTGTCTTTGAGAGGTTGACAGTTGATTTTGAAGCTTTCCACTTTGTTGAAGATGTCAGACAAAAGCTGGCAAAGAATAGATCGAAATGTCTCAAAGAATGCCTCAAAAAGTTATTAGATGACGACGATATTAACCCTTACAATTTAACATACGCTTCTATGAGAAGGAGGCTTGAGCATAAAAAAATTCTTCTGGTACTTGATGATGTGGACAATTTTAGAATGGCTGAAGATTTAATCAAAGCATGTGATTGGTTTAGGGAAGGAAGTAGAGTTATCATCACATCAAGAGACAGGCAGGTGCTTAAAAATACTTCTGCTTCTGAATCTCCAGCGACATATCATGTTTCGAAATTGGAACCGCATGATGCCCTTCATCTCTTTAGCTTGAATGCTTTCAAGCAACATGAGCCATTGAAAAGCTATTCAAAGTCATCGAAGTCGGTAGTGGATTATTGTCAAGGAAATCCTTTAGCTCTAAAAGTAGTGGGTTGCTTGCTTCATGGCAGAGGGAAAGAAGAGTGGGAAAGTGCTCTGGTGAAACTAAATCAAACTCCTCACGATGACATTTTTAATGTGCTAAAATTGAGTTTTGATGGACTTGATGACACACAGAAGAAAGTATTTCTTGATCTTGCATTTTTGTTGAACGTAGGATGGTGGATTTCTTGGCACTATACAAGATGCTTATATGGTCCTATTGCAGATATTGAGATAAGTGTTCTTGAAGAGAGATCCCTTATTTCAGTGGATGAACATAAGGATATTAAGATGCATGCTCTACTAATTGATACGGGCCTTAAAATTTCTGAGCAACAATTAAAATCTAATCCTAACAAGCCCATTCGGCTGTGGAGGCATGAGGATATTTATCGTTATTTTTCCAACAATGACAAGGTAATAATTTTTTGTTTAGATTTTATTGTATTTTTTGTTCTCTTAATGGTTCATTTCGTTGTCATTTACTTCTCTAAAAGTTATTTGTTTATTCATTAAAATCTTCAGTTAGTCTCAATGTTTGCGGAATCCGATTTTTTTCCCAATAAAAGAAGTCCTTTGTTTGACTAAAATTGGCTGCGGTCATAGTCTTTCTATTAGGTGTGATTCATTATATTAATCTTCTTAAACTTTTGAAATATTCGTTTTCCTAAAGTTTTGAGATAGAATATGACTAGCAAGATATAAGGCCTTTTTTTAAAAATAAAATAAAATTTAGAGCATGAGATCTTCAATAAATTATAAAATTATCCACAAAGGTTTACCTTTTTTCATATTAATTGATATCTGATGAAGTATAAAAGTGATTGTGTGTATTCTCACGCACTGCACATGCATATTCTCACCCTCACGCGTTTTCTTATTAAAATTTAATATTGCAAAAAAGTACTTATTATGAAATCTGAACAGAAAAAGAAATTTTTAGAAATTTTATAGATGCCAAGGTTTTTATATATACTAGTTTTTCTTTAATACGAAGGGTTAATATAATATTTTTCCCTTAAATTTACATGAATTTTGATTTTAATCTCTTTAGTTTCATACCATGGGTTGAATAAAATGGTCTAGGTTTTTATTAAATTATTAGAAGAATTAATATCCTTTTAGGTAAAGAATAACCAATATTTTACATGAAAAGAAATTTGAGAAATCAAAATCTATAGTTTAAAACTTGAGGGATCAAAAATTAGATTAACCTTTTATATGAAATATAAGCGTGCGCATGTAAGCCTGTTCGTATCATTGTCCCCGCCATCCTGCGTGTGTATCTGTTATTGTCCAATTTATTTATTGCAAGATGAAATGAATTGTTTGAATAAAGTGCGCAAAAGCATATTCATTTAGAAATTCCTAAAAAAATATATTTAATCGTTCTATTTATTATTTGATGACCTTTTACATATTACTGATTTTTTCCCACAATTTGATCAGTAGGCTGCTGGGGCAATTCAATGCTCATCATTAGACATGAAGACGATAAACAGGATTGCAATAACAACTAGTAATGTTCAAAAGAATTATAATTTAAAATTAGCTAGGACTTTCGTGATGTGTTATTTTAAAAGATAAATTAGTGTACAAAGAATTTTCATTGAGTGATATATGCATACGCATGTGTGAGCATAACTTACTGTTAGTTGAAGTACAACGGGAAAATAAAAAACAAATAATTTTTTGTTGTTTTAGTTATATTCTAAATATCTGCACATGCTATATGCATTACTGTGTCTCTGTATTTATTATTGTTGAGAAATTCATATATTACGGGAAAAACATGAATTGTAAGGAATTTTGAATGAAATGGATATAGCGGTGTTAATTTGGATAAAAGTTGATATATTTAATTGTTCTATGGTATTTATGGTCATTTTTTCAGGTAACGATAATTGTGTTTCCCTTGATTTGATATTATTACCAGGGGATTGGGGCAATTCGATGCATGTCATTGGATGCAAGCAAGATAAAAAGCATCGCATTGAGGGCTAGTCATTTTCAAAGGATGTATGATTTAATATTCCTTAATGTTTACAAGTCTGATCAAAGAAAGCCTTCAAAGTTGAATATTTGTGAAGAGTTGGTTTATCTTTCAGAAGAATTAAGGTTTCTTCGTTGGGAAGAATATCCAATGCCATCTGTGCCATTACAATTTTGTGCTGAGAATCTCATTAAACTTGATTTGCCTGGGAGTAATATCCAACAGCTTTGTGATGTCAATCAGGTACATACGCTTTGTTTTTTCAAATGTATGTCATAATGTTTTTGTTGGTGTATGTGATTGTAAGACGTGGCATCAAACATTTACCAAAATAATTGACAATGCAAACATTTAATTGTTTTTGTGCTGAGGATCTTATTGAACTTAATTTGCCAAAGAGTAATATCCATCAGCTTTGGGATGGAGATCAGGCACATATGGTTTCTCATATGTCATAATTGTTTGTTCTTGTGATTATAAGAAACACTGACTAAAATAATTCACAATGCAAATGTTTACTCTATTACTTTCTTTCAATTGATGGTTGAGTAGTAATTGTACAATTTGGGAGGAGTCCAGCTGTTGTTGTAATGGGCATAAGAAAAATTCTTGATTAAATTGTACGTATGTGGAGTTATCTAATTTATTTAACACTACTGCTTTGTTTTTTCCAGCAATTTCCAAATCTAAAGGAAATACGTCTAAATGATTCAAAAAATCTCATGGCACTTCCAGATTTGTCTCAAGTCCCGGAGATTGGGCAAATGGTTCTTAATGGTTGTGTGAATTTACATCAAATCCATTCTTCAACTGTCCCGGAAAATCTTTTCCATTTATTCGTAGAAGATTGTGGGCCAATGAAGATAAATGTTGGGGGCAGTATGAAAGGGAGAAGTTCATCAGGGTTAGTGATTGTGTACAATTATTTGGATGTCCCCAATTTGACATTCAATAAAGTGACAATGAAGGTGTTGGTATGTGGCAAGATGATGTGTGGTGTTGGATTTAAGCATGTGAGAATGCCATTGGGAGAGACGGCGGAATTCATGAGAATGGGAATACAAAGTTTGGCGACTTTACTTCCATTTGTGAGGGTAGTTGAATTGTTAGAGAGTCCAATTGAGTTTGGGCATGATTTCAAGCAACATCATACCTACCATGTTTGTCATGCATACATTGGTCCTTTAAGCTGGAATGACTTCAGGCTTTATGTAAAGGTGAGGGGTGATGGAGAAGAAAGGGGTGTGGAAGATGATGAAGAAAAGGATGAGGATGATACAGAAATTATTAGTGAGAATGAAAGAGAAATAAGTAGTAAAGCTGATTGTGTAGCAGAGACAACATTATTATTAATGGAAGATGAACAAGAAGGGGCCGATGAGGATGATAGTAAGAGGGACGATACATTATTAACAACACTACTTATTCCTAACAGCATCCCTCGCTGGTCATTGTTGGTTCGACTGACATTAAAAGAGAGTGATATTATTATTGGGAATAATAATACAGGTTGTAGCATCATCCCTCAAGCTTCAATAATCCTCAAATCACTTAATGAAGATTGCAGAAGGAGGATTCAGCCTCTCTTGGCAGTACAACTCTCTTCCCCAGTATCCCCTTTACCTCATCATTCTTTCACAGTCCGTTATAACTACTTGGAGGGTGCGCCACACGATCCTTCTTTTCTTTATTTCAGCAGTGAATACTGGTCAAGTGATTATTTTGATAGTCATGGCTTAATTGTTCACTTTTTCAAGAACCACTAATTATATTAATTATCATTTAAATTTTTTAGGTCATAAAATTATTATTTGAATCAGCCTCAGTTATTTTCTTATTACATATTAATATTATGTTTTTATGAAATATCAATTTTTCTGTTTTTTTTAATATGTAATTCATGTACGGAGGTCTCCTCACAACTTTAGAACATAAAAATTGTTAATCTTATCTTGGCTTCAGAATTAACTACACCTATTGTGTGCGTTACTCTCCATGCGATGTGAGTATAATAATTAGCGTGACAAGTAGTTTTCTTACTAAGCAATTTTATTATAAGAAAGTAGAATGATTACTTTTGAATTAACTCAACTTGTAAATGTTAAAATGTTATAATATTTAGAATTGTAAACTACGTTAAAATAAAATATATTTGTTTGATCGGCTGCCAATCAATCATTCCAAGTTGATCAACGTGGTTAATTGGCACTCTGGTCATTTACACTCTTTCAAAAAAAAAAAATCTATTTATACTTGGTTTTCTCACTTGAAATCTAGTGGTAATTTTCCCTTCCCATTATGTGACATCAAAGAGAGAGATATATATATATATATATTTTGAAGTGTGATTTATCGAGCGCTTCCTCACAACCTTAGAAAATACTCTAGAAATTATTAATGTTATTGTTTCTTTTCAATAATTATTCTATCGTTCGTTACTTTATGCGCGTGTACATTGCATAACTTATTTATAAATAGGTGGAGAAATAATTTTTCATTGCGAAGCAATTTCCTTGGGATTATTCATTATTTACCATAAATAGAGTATCCTCTAACTTGTACTTCAAAAATATGTACAGTCTCCTTACATAAAATAGATTTTACTAAATTAAATTATAATAGAAAGTATTACCATAACTCATATTTTATTACAATAAATTGTTCATTTCATGAAACGTCATTTTTTTTTACAGCAAAAACCACGTCTTTATTCATTAACTTTGTTTGGTTGAATGATAATGGGAGAGTGAAAAATTTAATAAGTTTGATTTTTTGGGAAAATGTTGATCTACGTTGCTAAGCACAAGCAAACAGAACAAGTAAGAAGGATATTAAAATAATAATCAATAACAAAATGCCAAGCATTAAGACTATGAAGACCTAAAATCTATGATTGAAACACTTGAATGGCTTCCTTTAAAAATATTACATAGTACATACCAAAATGACGTGCTTTTCTCTGCATGATTCAACATGGAGAAAAACATAAGGGTTCTGTTTTAACTCAATTAGCAATGAATTTGACTAACCTCATCCTTACAGTTATCCTTAGTATCAGGAATCTGAAGACAATGCCAGTGATGGTGCGTGCAAAAATGAGAAAAGAAGTCGGTGGTTATTAAACATATTCTTGATGTCAGTATACATAAACTGAAAGGGGCTCAAAAATTAGGAAAGAACCAAAAATGCGTGAATGGGTCTAACTTTATGACTGTGAGAAAACTGTAAACTAAATCATGTTTCAAAAACAAAAAAGACAACACTGACTTACATTTCCAAATGTACTAACAGCAGATGTTCTCAGTCTCATTTGCTTGATCGTTCTACTCGGATCCCTCATATAAGTAGCAACTTGGTGGCTTATATCCTATGATGGACATGTTAAGAGTAAAATAGCCTGCTTATTACACAACAGAATCCTCAGTGAAGTTACAAAGCCAGACCTGATTAAAAGCCTGTAATTTGCCTTTAAAGGCAGCGGCACCAGTTGTCACTTGCGTCATCCTCTGCCATTTGTTGATCGACCTATCTCTGAAGGGTGCCAATCTACAAACTGCAATCATGAATAACATCAATTAGGTCATAGTGTCTATCTAATCGATTTTTTGCACATGTACATAAGTATAAGAAATTTAAAATGTCAAAAGGCACAGCTGGAACTCAAAATCTTAAGTTGTTAAGTGAAGACCAATAATAGGCTTTATTAATCTTAGGTTGTCAAAAGCCCTTGGGCTATAAGTGCAGAAACTGGAAAAACCAAAAGGTCACATTATTTTCTTTTGAAATTTAATTTGAAGTAGATCACTTCATCAATCCACAAGGTCTAGATAGTAGTGAAGATCCATGATTTAGGGGTTCTCACAAGTTGGGTCTGTTTTGTGTGCAGTGTCCCCTCCCCCCGGGGGGTTTTTTGGTGGGCTGGTGCATAGCACGACAGAAAGTAAAAGAAAATGCACACCAAATACATAACAAGGTAAGTGTCAAATATTACTGCCGTGGGTGGGGTTCAAGTGAAAAAACTCAGAAGCCTGAATGATGATCTGCTGTGAGGAAATGAATGTCTGGCAAAATAAGAGTGCGCCAAGAAGATGGTGAAAAATACCTCTTATGCATCTGAGAAATCTGTGACCCTTCTTCATCAAAATTGTCATCCAAATTCTTAGAAATGCGTAAGTGTTTTATTGGCCTCTCTGAACCTTTTAGAAGAGAAAACAAATTCATGTCAGTTCAGAAAACGATTCAAGCATATATGCGACAGAATAGAGGTTATACCACATCTAAAAAAGAAAAATAACTATAAAAATAAAAATCCTTTCGACAACGTACAGACAACAGGAGTCAAGTTATCTATTTTCATTAGTGCAACATATTGCCCTTTGGCTTTAGCAATAAACAGAGTAGGGTATGTTAACGTTGTAGTTAGATTAAGGTGAAAACAGAGGACAACAAAAAATAAATCAATTACCATTAGAGGCTTGGGCAATTGATGGATTCTATGCAAGCAGGGCCTAAGGTGAAAATTATCAGTACATAAGAAGATTAGAGAAGTAAAGACATAATATTACAGATAAGTGTAGTTCCTGTTGGCATGAAATGCAAGGGAACAGTTCTACATTTTCTTCTATATCTTTAAATAACCATAGGTCTTGCAGTTCCAATAGTGAAGTGAACTTTTTAAAATATAGGGACCGGATTAAGAATTAAAGGTAAACTATTAAGACAAAATATTGAATTTTTTTAACTAAAATTGAGGTAAATAAAAATATGAGAAGAGTGTTTCTGTTTCCATATCAAGTAAATTAATTACTTTTTTTTTACTATAAATCCATATATATTTTTTCCTGAGACAATACAACAAGGCAGAATAAGTAAACAACCCATTGCACCGTTTCTTTAATGTGTATCATGCATATCCACATATGTATATTTGCATCTATAATAAACGATTATTATGTTGCGTTATAAATTTCACAACATCAGAATAAATATGAAAAAACTCCATCCTATGTCCGAATGATCTAAGATTTAAATCTCCCTATTTATTTAATTTCATGTGACTTTAATGCTTAATCAAGACAGTACACTTTATAGCCGGGGTTCTATGCACATAATAAGTTAAAAATTATTAGAATGTAAATACAAGTACAAACTAGAAGACTATAGTCTCATCTTATCCATATTATAATAAATTTAATCATATAATAAACATTTTTGAGGTGTATGAAAATGCTACAAACAAGTTCTAATAAGGATATGACATGAGAGGGAGCACATTATGACTGTGGGCAATGCTATGTATTTAATTATATATCGATTTTCATATTCTTAGAACAAATTCTATTGTTGGGGCGAAAATAATTATAAATGGAATTCAAACAAGAACCTAGCTTTAATGGTTGTTTAGAAAATCCGAGAATCAATTAAAAAAATTCTTTATGCCTTACAGAATAAAATTTTTCTTACATACTCATCTTATATAATACTCCTCTTGTCTTAAATATAAGACCTTTTAGGACAAGGGAAGTATAAATTACTTTTAAAAATTCTCCTTTTTTTTTTCTTTACATAAGTATTCTGCTGTTAGAGATAGTGCTATTCAAGACACTATCATATATTAAATATGAGTATTTTCTTCATCAAAAATCTAAATTTTAATCCCTCACTATGAAAAAGTAATATTTTTTGTTGAACTCAATCGCTGTAAGTAGTTGTTCTCTAATTTTAAGAAAAGAAGTTGAAAATATTCAAATATTATAGACTACATTACTATTGTGGGCCACAACCTTAGTAATGGCCTAATTGACTTGGGCTGTGTATTACAAAAATGAAAAAAAAAACTCTAAACAAGCAAATTTTTTATGATACATAGACATAAAACATATTTTTTTCTCCAATTATAATACAAAATTAAGATCAATAAAAATTGGGTTTAGTAGAAGGAACCAATCATTCATAATGTGATGAATTAAATTCAAATTTATACTATAAATGGTGTCCACATTTAGTATCGTATAATACTTCTAATATAATTACCTCTAATAAGATTATCAACAAAAAATAATACAAAATTAAGTGCGGCTCTCCAAACTGTAATTTTTGCCAAAAGCAAAAGGGCGGCGCTGTACAAATAACATTAATCAACACGGCAATGCACAACTGGGGACCACTTGACTTGCTGCCTACAATGGCACGCGCAATATAGGAAGTAGGAAGGTACGAGTTTAAAAAAAAAAGTAAAATCCATTTTCAATAAAATGCTTTTCCATGCTTATATATTTTTGTCATTTTCTTTTTTATTTCCTCGGTTCTTTTTATGCTTAAATATTCTATATTGTTTTTAATTTACCCATGGAAAACCCAGCCTTTTCTCTGTGTTCTCTCCTACTTGGTCTTTCAAAAGGAGGGGAAAAACGTATAGATACTCCCAAAATATAAATATCAGCAAAATGGTTTCCTTTATTGAATAAGAAACATGCATGTGAACGAAATGCCTTCTGAATATTACTTTTTTTTTTTAAAATGACATCATTTTTTGCGTAATTTATTTTTTATGGTAAATTATTCTGCTCCTTCTCTCTAACCCTAACTATAAAGAGCTCATGAATTGATTTATGTGGTTTTAAATGTAAGATTTTAATGATTTATCAATAATTTAATTTTCTTTAATCTATATAAATTACTTATTCAGCTTATATGGAATTTAACATTAAAGAAAGTAATTTTTACGAAGTGTGGGACGAACTCTAATAGAGAAACTTTTTCTAAT